AATGTACTGATTAACAAAAACCATAAACCAAAAACATGGAAAAGGGAAGCAAGGAGACAATGCAAACGGGGTTAATATAAATGGGCAAACTAAAAACTTTGCCACTCGTAAAGATCCCATATTAAAAACCGCAATGAATGCTTAATATCTATCAAATGTTGATCGTTTTTCTGAGGTTGCATTCTACATGCACATTCGCTATCTCGATTATATTCAACGAGCGTGTGTTTGATAAGCAAAACCAACACAGAGATATGATTGATCACCAGATGTTTGTGCTTACCCAATGGAAAAATCTCAAATTTTTTGCTTCCCATCGATCATTTTCGCTTGACAAATCAACACTAACTTTCCTTTCTCCAGACAACCCTCTTCATCGGGACCCAGGTAAAGAGCCACAACCCCGATATCCTGATATCACACACACCTGGTCTCAAACTAACCGACAATCAAAATATTTTAAATCATAATCATACTATATCGTAATAATATTCTACAAGTCCGTCTTCCCCGCCGAATACTTCCCCGACGCACTTCGCAACGCCGTGAAAGAATGGTCGGTGACTTCTGGTGACCCTTGGTTAACTCGTATTGCTAATGATCAACCATTACCTGCATGGTGGGTTGGTATCTGTACTGCAGAGGTGTTCTTGCAACTTCCATGGTTCTTTTGGTAAGAGTTGTTTTTTTCTATCTCGCGTTTGTTGCTTGCTGTGAGTATGTTCCAGCTTTGGACCGTTCTAATATGACTATAATGGGTTGTTTCAATATGTAATAGGTACTGCTACATGGCTACCATTGGTAAGTAAAACAAAAATTAGAGTGAACATACCCTTATTCATTGTCCTTGAACGCACAACACGTCTTTAAACTATATCTCCCCTACCAACCTTCAAAAACATACAGACTCTCCCAAAATCCGACTTGGTTCAATAATCTACTCAATCCAATGCATGACTTCCTTAATTCCAATCCTGTCCGAAATCCTCTTTGGATACCCTTCCTTACCTCAATCTCAAAGAAACATCTTATTGGGTGCTTATGTTCCTTATCTGGTTGTTCCGTTCTTTTTGTTTTGTAGAATGACGGTTTGGTGGGAGGGGGATCGTGTGAGTGAGAGTAAGAAGAAGAAGAAGGCATAGATGTCTATATATTCCTTTTCTTTTTTCTTTTTGGTTTTCAGCGAAAAAAGAATTGGGGAATTTTTTTGTGTGGTGTATTTTAGTCTGTGTTTTAATCTTCATTATTGAAATAGGGTTTTAAGTATGTATAGTTACCATTTTTTTGTTATTCTGTTCTGTTCTGTCATAACTTTAGTTAGTCTGTTGTTGCCGTTACCGTGATTGATCGTCATTGTTGGAAAGAAGTACAATATCTGACAAACGAAATAAAGATGCCAAGACGTTTCGGAACAGAACAAGGGGAGATTGAAAAATATCTTCATGACTTCACACAGAACATAATGCTCCAGATTTCGGTCTGTTCACAACCTCTCTTAGCTCATCCTGCAAGAGCGTGAGACTGTAACTGGCTATGAGACGGGTATCTCAAGGCACGCGGTTCGATCCCGCGAGAGAGGACATAGTGCACGTTTTGATCCAGACCGATCCATATTGGATAGTAGTACCCTTTTTTGTTTGTAGAATGTAACATGTGAGTGATGTGATAGGGAGGGCGTTTTTGTTTGTGGAGTTTGTGGAATGTGTGAAGTGACGATATTTTTGCAAGCTGATTGCCGCCGTCGCCATCGCGAACACTACTGGAAAGTCGAGGACGCAAGCAACGAAAAGAATTTGTGTTTGTTTCTCTTTCAATGTCCCTCCAGACACAAACTATAATATAACATACTCTTTGATAACCCTTTTGCAGATATTTAATGGAGTGATATGATAATGAAGGATTTGCCAGTTGTTTGTGGAATGCGTGAAGTTGAGAAATGAATAACTTAAATAACCCCTTGCCGAGATAGGTAACTCAGAGCCAGCAAGCGAGCGTGGGGGGACCAAAAGGTTTTGGGATTTTGTATTTTCTTTCGGGGTACGTTGTTTTGTAAAAC